TCTTGCTTCATCTATTTCCTGTTACCAAAGCTTAAATGGAGTTTGAAAAGGAGAACATTTTCAAATGATTTGGCAGTGATTGCAGTGGCAAAGTAGTATTTCTATGGCCAAATTTAATTCTTTTAATTTTTTTGTGTTTTTTGAATGGTTAAAAAAAACAAAAACAAACTTCATGTGCCAAGTGTGTTGAACAGTGCAATGACTATGTAGAATAGCATTTATGTTTCATGGCTCTGCATCATTTCCTTCTTGGTCAGGCTGAGAAATTTTTAAGCACTCCCTTCTATATATTAGCACTCTCAGATATGAGTTGGGATCAAATATAGATCGGAATCTGACAGAATGATAATATAAAGAAAAAATAGGAAATGTTTATCAATCTAAAAAAAATCTTATTTTTTTCTTCATATCTTATTCTCTGATGAAGCTTTAATAAAAGTAATACATGTTAGATTGATAAACATTTCCTATTTGTTATTATCACTCTCAGATATATAAGTTTGATTTTCTTTTGAGTAACAATTTGCAGGCTTGCTGATCTTTGTAGTTATTTGTTTGTATATTACTCATATAGGACATCTTTTTTCTTTCAAGTTAAAAAAAAAAAAAAAGAAGCTTTTTCTAAAAAAAAGTTTTTATTTTTTTTACATAGGCATTAGTATTAGATAGTAGTTGTTCAAAAGCATATTGATAAAATAATTATTTACTATTTAATTTGGAGGGGAATTTAGATTTTTTTTAAGTAAATAAAGTTTTACTTAAACCAATCTAAATTCCCCTCCAAAATAGTGAATAATTATTTTTTGAAGAAGTATGTCTTCCTATAGTTTTGCTTGAAAAATGATTAAATTAAATATGTTTAAATATATCTTAATTTAACTTACTTTTTTTTATAATAATCTCCTCCAAAATAAATAGTAAATAATTATTTTTTGAAGAAGAAAGGCTCACTATAGTTTTTGCTTTAAAAAATAATTAAATTAAATATTTTTAAATACATCTCAATTTAAGTTTATTTACTTTATTTAGATGTTTTTAAGTAAATAAAGTTTTACTTTTAAACATTACATTAAAGAAGCAAAAATTTCTCCGTAAATGAATTTAATTTTTATTTTGAAAGGAAGTAGAAGTAAGAGTTTAGTTTTGAAAATCAATTGTGTTTACAACATTTCAAGTTATATTTGTATTTGAAAAGAAAAAGAAAAATTTAGTTAAATAAAAATAAGGAGAGACAGACATGAGTTATGGACAACATTAGTCGTGTTGAATATTAGTTTTATGAATTTAACTGTATTTTATTTAAATTAAAGTCTCCTTGTGAATAAAAAAAAAAAAATGGGAATGCTCTGACCCCTAAGTCCACCCTCCTCCTCGGTGCGTGCTAGTGTAGTATTTTCCTAAATTTAGTTAATTTATAACAAACTGAAAAAACAATGAAGTTTATTTTTCAAAGATTGAATAAACAATTATTTTCCATAACATGGCTGAATAATATAAATAAATTGTTAATAATAAGCTATCATTCAGAGATCTTCTGAGCAATGCTGGGTATCCCCAGAGTGTATAATAAAAATATAAGTGAATGCTAAACATTATATGAAATACACTTGAAAGATAAAACTGTCAAAATTATTTACTAGGCTTGATTTACTTTTTGGGGAAAAAACTCTCTATAGAAGACACCCACCAAGGATTAAACCGCCTACATTAGTTTGCTATGATACTATAATAGATATCCCTAAATTTATAGTTATATTAATGACTATATTTAATCTTTACACAAATCCAATGCTATTTGGAAACTTTTAACCGGTAGAATAACATGAAACCTATTAGTAAATTGTGTAACCTCTCTTGTCGATCTTCATCAACAGCTACCAATAATGTAGTCCTATGCACTGCGTTAGTTTTCAAGTTCCTTCAGACTACCATGGTTACCATCTAGCTGACTCTTCACTCATTAGCATGTGACTCGTTTGTTGCTGGTATTGTGATGATAGGCATGGTTTTACTCAACTTAGCTGGCATTGTTCATGACCATTCCCTCCTGCCATGTTATGTTTTTTGATCTCAGAGTAGGTATCACAGATGAAAATTTCAAACAGGTACTAGGTGTTATTTGATTGCATCTTAATATACATGATGAAAGAAACTTAGCAGTTTTTATTTCATCAAAATATCTCAAACCGTTTAATTTTGGCAAATTTCTTTTTATTTTTACACATGTGCTCAACTTTTTTGTCTATTATGAATTAGGACAAAATACCATATTTGGACTCCTATATTTAAAAAGCAATTAAGAACAACAGTTAATATTATACTAGCTTGTTAGGTACATAACAAAGAAATTAATAATAAAATTACAGATATTATCACTGCATATTTCTTAAATAAATTCAGTCTGAATATGCAAATTTTATAAATCAAACCCTCTGCAACGACATGCAAACAACTCATAACCTGAGGTTTGACATTTCATAAAACTGGAAATAAGACCCACATTCATCCCAAATATCACATTATGATTATACCAGAAACATGTCTAATTTTTTGGGGAGTGATAGAATGGATATGTTCTGGATTATTCCAATCCAAAACTGAAAAAAAAAAAAAAAAAAAAAAAAACAATAATAATAATTGCTTTTTAACCCTTTGTCACATTATGTCTGATTTTAGACTTGCTTGAATTGTGTCATAAAATGAATACTTCTTACACTAGAAACACCAAATTTCATATATAGCCATTTCTTGGGGTGCTCTTTCCATTTACCATGGTTAAAATGACCTAAAATCAACAGATTAGAATGTATATGGAGCAGATGCTGAACGAGTACAGTCCTGACTCAACATGTACAATTTGAGAGAGAGAAAGCAAGCAAGCACAGCAAGCAGTACCCACTAACGAACATAAGAAAACAACAGAAAACTCACCTTATCATGAAGTGGTATTCAACCACTAAATTTGTAACTGAAATCATTAAAATAAAAATATTATATTTGTCACAATTTGATCAAAAGGTTGAAGTTCTGACACATATTAGTTCCTATCACTATGTAAGCGGTATGAAATCACCAAATTGTCTCAATTTTTAAACTGTAATGTTCCTCTCACATTATGCACATAAAAATAAACAACACAGACATAAAATTAATCAAATAAAGTTTATTTGGAAATTTTCAGTAATGGTGGGCTGGGTGTTGGGATACCTCTTCACTGGCAATAAATCATAACTAAAATCCATTCATTAGATAATTTAAAAAGTAAGAAAATTGTTTGAAGGGGTAACTTTAAACAAAATGTTCCTTGGTAACTGAAATGCTGATAATTATTGTGAGAATACTGCAAAAACATAAAAGACATTCTAGAATTTTTTGTAGAAAGTTTTTTATCACGTTCTTTGAATATGAACATTTTTTCGATCAATAAGTCCTACGTTTTTTTTGTGATTTTAATCTGAGCATAAAGTAAACAAATCGATTTTTGTTTCATATTTTTTATGATGAAAACGGTTTTTAAATCCCATTTACATTTTACATATCATAGAAAATTAATATTTAAAACAAATTCTTACCAATTTCCTTGAAAATTTCGTCCATAGAAAACATGCTCATTGATTCTTGGGTGTCCGTGTTGACGCTGTGTATTGACTGTTGAGTGGAGTTGAAATGATGGCTGAGCGAGTTGCATATAGTTACACATAATTGCACACGCACAAAATGGAGCTATCATTTCATATTTGATTTTGATTTAGTTTCATAGATTATTAAATGAGCATTTTAATGATATATTTTATGTGTTTTTATTTTTACAAAAAGCATTTGAATTTTACGATCAAACTTTTCATTTGAATTGTTTACAAACTTCTTATTAAAATTAAAAAATATAAGATATATGAAAATGAAGCTTAGAATGTTAACTTTCAAACTAACGTGTTACCAAAATTGTAATAAACCCTGCAGAGTCTGCATGTTACAAAATTTGAGGAAGTCTAAACTGCCGTCAGTGAAAAATCAAAAAAATGTTTCTATTTTCAAACTGTAATGTTCCTCATACACTGTAGTACATATAAAAATAAATAAGATAGAAACAAAGTTCATGAAATAAGCTTTTATTTGGTATGCATTATGTTTTTATGGAGATATATGGACTGAAATAACACGATGAGTGAATATATGCCTTTTTTAGCGTTTAGTTAAGAATTTCATCAGGTGTAAGCTGAGTGCTGGGATACCTACTCAGATGGTGAGAAGATTATTAATGAAGCAAATTGAAGTGAAGGTGGTTTAACAGCTTGGTGCTACACACAAAAAAGAATTCTCTGGAATAAAGAATTAACTTGGGTTAAAAATGTAACAATGATTTGGTTTATATATGATTTGTTGTATACAGTGGTTTTAAGCCTTCCCACATGTTATTATCAAATGACACTGAGATCTTTGGAGTCTGCAGTTTTAAATTTCTAAGTTCTGTACTTCAAGGCCAGTACAATTACTTGGTCATGTGGTCTTGGAAAATGATGTGGATTCCAGTAGCAGTAATATGGGGACTCTACAAGTTGTTCAAACCTTTGGCTTATTATGGAGTCCTGCATCCATTGGAGTGGAGTTAACTAGTGTCTGGGTTTGATTGTCTTTTATCCTAAGCATCAACCTTTTCTAAATTTCCATATATAAAGATACATTTACTCAATTGGTTTTCCAAATTTGCAGTTGTCCAGCTCACTTTCCTTTGCTTTTTGTTTGATCAGTCTCCAGAGATCTCAGTGTCACAAATTGAAAGGTAATAGAAAATTAGTATAGAAAATTCAGTTGTCTACAAAGTGTTTTGAATTGACAAGATTGTCTTTTACCTGACAAATTACAAGAAAATTTATGAATTTGTCAATAAAATAGTCTTTACCAAAAGATTTTTCTTTTACACCTTTTTTTTTTTTTTTTTTTTTTTTTTTTTAAAAAAAAATAATCTAGTGAATTATTAATGATTTTGTTTGTCTTTATAGATAAATTTTGATGGGTTTGTTGATGAGGAAGTTGACGTACAAGAAGATGGAGAGGTAAAGAATTAGAATTATTTTATTTTCGACATATTGAAGTTACTTTTATTTAAGTTTTTTGAAGTTACTGTCAGTTATTTCCAATAATGTATGTCATTGTTTCAAATCATAAACACATGAAGAAGAATTTTTTTCTGAACAACTTAACCAATTTTAAGATGAGTTCCTTTTATTTATCATTTCAGCTAGTGATTTTTTTCCATTGTATTTGTAAGTTGAAAGAATGAAAACTGGAAAACAGCTACTGTGAAATGGTTGTTATAGTTATAAATGTTATACATATTGAGGGTTATTTATTGAATTGAAAAGAATTTAAATTTTGATCTGTTTCATAAGTTTCTTGTGAAAAAGAAATATGAAAAAGATGGAATAAAAATAAGCAAAATCTAGTTAGAAATTGATTTAAAAAAATTTGAAAGGTTTGAGAAACATTGATGACGTTCATTCATTTTTTTGACTTGGCTATTCACTATATGTAGCTTACTTTTGGTACAAGATGACCTAGTGAAGACTGAACTCACTACTCACTGGTAAGACCAGCTTGCTAACCATTATGTCATGACAAAGTGCTCAGTTTATTCTTTGTAGACTGAAGCAAATGTCACTTAAAGATGTTTTGAAACGCATTCAGTTATTATCAATAGCATAGAAGAAGATTTTAGGCAATTACAGAATTGAAAATATGTTCAGGGTTCCCACACGTCCTGGAAAATAAATTGTAAATTTTCCAGGACTGGAAACCCTGGAAAATGTTTGTATTTTGTTCTGGAAAATTTAAATTATCTGAGAACCTCTCTCTCAAATCACAAAATTAATGTTATTGTTACAGCTAAGAAATATACTCTGTATTATTTTAAACTTAACTTTGATTTGATATTTTACATTCAAAACTGGATATTTTTTAAATGTATTTAAACATGTTTCAAATTTCAAGGTGAATATAAAAGATTACTTCCCTTGGATTTCAGTTTCAATTTTTTTATAGTAACCAAAACTCATGCTTGAAGAATATGAATACAAATTATTGTTCATTTATTACTATTTTTTGTTAGTTTACAAAACGATTCATTTTTGACTGAAAATGAATTAAATGTAAATATTAGGTGAAAATTTTTGTAGAAAAATATTTTTTTTCAAAAATTGATTTTAAAAAAAAAAAAAGGTAAAATAAATCTTTAATTTTGGTTTCAACTTATTCATTTAATATTTTTTTAAAAAAACTAAGTATATTTTTAACTTTAAAAAAAACTTTAGTGTTTGTCCAATTTATTTTATTGAACATATTTTTAATTTTTCTGCTAAAAATATTGTTTTAAGAAATATAAAAAGAAGGTGGTATATTTTTATAACATATAAATTGTTTTATAAAAGTATATTTTTATATGTAAATTGCTTAATTATCAATGTCTGCCAGTTTTTTTTCTTTTTGACAGCAAATTTCTAATTTCATTTTTAATGGATAACATTTTTTCTGGTACCTTGAAAAAAAATAAATGCTTGTAGGACAAAAATTGAAAAATGAACAGGTGGTAGACATTACTTTTAGGGAAATAACTTATTTGAAACTAATTGATGCTGGGCATTAGGTTAAAACAACTTTTTTTTTTTTACTTAAATAAACGATTTATAATGTTTTTAGATTGAAAAATAGTACCTGATGAAGTATTTTTGGTTCAGTTGAAGACAACCTGATTTAATGGATAGAATAATAATGGGTTATTACAAGAATCCCTATAGCTGCATTGGCATAAATGAATTAAAATCAAGATTTCAAGTTAAATTTGATTTTTGTCAAATAAATAACCAGAGATAACAAAAAATAGAATACAAAGAGTAAAAATTTGACTTGATTTACTGAAAATAAAGTGCTACACATGAAGCTCTAGCAAGAAAGCTGAGGTTAGTCTACTTATAGCTTTGTAATCTTTCTTCTTTTAATTCAAACAAATTGGTATCTAGAATGGTCATTTCTTTTTTCTGCAATACTTCTGTGGTAGGCATTGGATTTTGCAAGCAGTGTAAATTCCTTTTTTTTTCTCTTTCCACCTTTTCTGCCATTGAATATGCCTCTTGCAGCAATAATTTGATGCTGGCTATTATTTTTTGTCTCTTTGTGGTCACTTTTGTGATTTCAGAATTGAGGTCTTTCTTTTTAATGTCATTTGAAGATTCTTATTTCTTTTTCTTTTCTGCATCCAAATAACTAACATACATCATTCTTGAAGATTTGCATTGCTGTATTAGGGATTTGGTTATTATTTTTAATGGGCCATCTGACAATGAATCTTGTATAAGCCTTAGAGAAATCAGTCTTCTCTTTCAGGTTTACTACCAAAATGTCCTTGTTTACAGAGTATCCTCTTTCAACTGCTGCTTGCCCATGTGACAATGTGAAAAGGCTTTTCAGTAACTTTCACAAGTAACTTTGTGTATTTTACTTTACCTCTTAAAGAATTTTCTAGAAACATGTCTACTCAACAGGAGCAACATCTGTAGGTAACTCTAGGAACTCTTGTTTATTTTATTTTATTTTGGGGGGTGAGTAATCTTTTATACACAGCAAGAATTTAGTCACATTGCTGTGCAATATGCCATTTGGCATTCAGAAGCAGCTGGAAGAGCTTTTTAAATTTTAATACAGCACCCCTCTGTTCACTAATCATGAACAAAGGATCAAGAGATCTTAAATGTCTTACTGCCACATAATTCAGTGGACATTTTTCCAGCAGATTTTTTGCCATTGTAGAAGGAAGGTTAGAGATTCTTTCTTGAACTGTATGCCCAGCAGTTGGTTGCCAGGAAGATTCTCAGAGGATTTGCTAATGGCATGTTTGATGGCAAAGCCACTGTCAACCGCTTTTAATGGTACATGAAGTTCTTTGTTCAGCACATTAATTTTGATGTACTGTTGGCCTTGATTACATCTCTCTTCATGAAGCATGAAAGCAAATTAACCCATATGGATTTAAGCTCTTTTGCCAAAAAGGGCACCATGGAGGCATCTTTTTAAAAACCTTCAAGGAAGGCTCCAAGCAGTCTTGCCATATAGATAAAAAAAAACTTTAGCTAGGTTTCAAAAAGGAGGTCACTAACAGCCTCTTTTACTATGAGATAGGACACTGATGTTGGTTCCATTTTGCAGAATATTTTGTAGTGGTTCATAAATTCCTACACAGCTGGCCATATCTCAATAGCCCACTCTGCCACTGGTAAATCTTCTATCCACCTGTGAGCACAAAATTTGAGGGGTAATTTTGAGGTTTTTGTGATTTCAGTAAAATCATCCTTCCTAGCTGGTGTATCATGAAAAATCTGCCAAAGGTTTCATCAGTTTTCCATCCTGTTTCCTTCTTGCCTCGGAAACTCCCATGAACCACAGTTCCTTCAAGCATTTAGGTCTTCCTTGTTTCTGTCCTCCTCAAATTATCTCATAAACTTCCAGTTTACTTGTTGGCCATCTATAGATATTTGTAGGAGCTTGTTTGGATCAAGTGTGAGATAGATAATTCTTTATTCTCTCAACAACTCTGCTTGGATATGCCCCATAAACTGAGAGTCCAGGTAATTTTCTATTACCTTCTCTTCATTCTCATTCCAGTACCAAACAATTAAGTCCATTTGCTCAGTCTGAATAACCTTATTCAGGCATTTATCAAATGAAATGACATAGCAATTTGATATTCTGATACCTTTTATAAGTTCCTTTCTGAAATAGTGTCAAGACAAAAAAAAATCAGGTATGCTGCTTTGATGGCACTACATGTAAATCTTATTGGCAATGTTACTGTCAGGAAACATCTGAGCTAAGAACATGCCCAAATCTGAACAAAAGTTGAAAGAAAAATGAGATGGGTAATTTTTCGCACCCAGTAGATCTCTGCTTCCAAAATAGCTTCACTTGAAAACTATGTATTAATTTTGAGTGTAACTTGGGATGGAGCTACACTATCAGAAGTATGATGGTTGGACTTCTCTATTCTCTTGACTGTCTGCCACTGTTGCCTGCTTGCCAGCTTCAGAATTCTAGGTGGAAGGCTGATTGAAGAAATCAGTCATTCACAGTTCACTGCCTTCTGTCCCTGTCCTTTGGCATGGCTTTTAATGGTAGATAAAACCATGTTGTTAATATCAAATGATTTTTGGCATATTTTACAATAAGCACAGTAAACATCACCAACCACATGTCTTATCCAGGTCTTGAACTCAGGATTGTCATTTCATTCCTCCTTAAACCTCTTGACATTTCTGTCCTGACTACTACTTCTGTAAATTAAGTTGAAATAAATTATCAGAATTAATAATTATGCTATTATATCTGACAACATCATTCAACATTAGTACTATTCAGCAAGTTGATAAAAAGGTTTAACAACTATTTTTATTTATAAATATCCGAGAAAAATCATAAATTTCATTTACGACAAAGATTATCTGGGAAAATAAACATTATTTATTTGAATAAAAGATTACACTTCGTGAAAATGAATATTCATTTCAAGAAATTTTCTTTAATAAATATTAATTTAATAACAATAAAATTGTAAGTACATCTCGTAGGGATTAGTTTATTAATTAAAGACAATTTGGTAAATTTCTAGGTAAGTACCTGTTGAAATTCACCAAGAAAAAAATTTTCTACTAATTTTTTTTCTTTCTGTGTTTTGAACTAATTATGGCAATTTTAATATTTTTTGAAAAAAACAAAAACAAAACAAAAAAAAAAACCCCCAAAAACAATTACATTTTAAAAGCAGGGCTCACTTTCACATTTTAATTCAATGTAGATTAATCACCCATTTTTTGGAACAGTTAGCATTAGAAAGGACAACTATCTAGATGTAAACTGTTGTTGTTTCTTTTTTTTATATACTTGTCAGTAATGGACCCAAGATACTTCATCATTAACCCTACATTACAAAAAGGTTAAATGTGTCAATATTAGATGTAATGGTAAATTATGAAACCTCTGTGAACAAATGCTCTCCTGGAAAATGATTTTCTGAAAAGAGTGGGAACACTGTATGTTGTAGGTTTGATGTTTGGTCATAGAACACTTTTACTAAAGAAGACAATAGTGAAAATATTAAAAAAAGAAAAAAAGGTATTCTTAAAGCATTTGCAATATCAGGTAAACTCAAAAAAATTAATCTTTTAAAATACTTTTGTATGAAACCTTTTCCTTTTTATTGACTTCTTTTTACTTATTCTTTTTTATTTCCCATTATTTTATTTCATCTTGAGCATTGCCATTTATTAGATATTTGGAAAATTTTGACAAATTTTAAGATAAAAATGATGTTTTATCAAAGCAGCCTTATGTTATATAACAATATTGTTATCAGTTGTGGAAATTTTATTTAGGAAACAGGTCAAGTAGACACTAGTGTAAACGTTTTTACATGTTATACAAATTTTATAACATTAACATTTTATTTTTGAAATACATGCATAACTGAAACCAATATTTCATTTTATGTTATAAAGTTTAGATGTTCCTAGTTTCATTGAATTTTTTTTTTCTCAGATACTTTTGCTTCAGAGAAACTTTTTTATTAAACCTAATTCCAAAGAAGATTTTAAAGACAAAATGAGAAACTATATTGAAGCCCTCCACAAGATATCTGGTTGTTTAAAGTAAGTTCTTTTATGTTATATTCCTTTTAAGACATAGAGGATCATGGTTCTCTACAATTTTCTGTCTTTTGTTTCTCTAAATAAACTCTGACCCTTTACCATTGCTCTTTGTTCTTGTTCTGCCATTTATTCACACAAACTTGTTTATATAAGTTACTTACTGTTTCTTCTGCTTTTCTTCAGTATATCCTGAGAGAGTAGAATTTTCTAAATTCATTTTTAAATGTCCCATAATTTTTTTTTTCCTTACTGAAGTATAAGTGTCCTCTTAGCACTTTTAATTTACAGGGTGTCCCAAAAGTTATGTGACGATTGGCAGAAAACATACACTTGTGAAATAGAAATCAGAGAACATTTGCATGACATTATCTTCCATAATTCAAGCAATAAAATTTCTTAATCTATTGTCACATACAAAAACCTGATTTCATTTAGTAAATAAATATAAAATTTATAAGGTTAATGGTAATGCAACTTTTGGAGCACCCTATACTTAAAACTTGCTTGTTGCTCATATTTTACTCATAGTATTGTCAGCATTCACTACTGTATATTACATTAGATATTATATAGCAGTTCAGCAATCTTTTCTTTATTTTTAATGAAAACATTCTATCTCTCAGGATTTAATTTCTGGAAGGTATTTTTTTGCTATTCCTATACACCTTTAAATATCTTTGTTACATTTTCTGTTGTCTTTTACATTACCCAGTTAAATTTCTGTACCAAACTGTTTAATGCCCCTAATAGCTTACATCTTTGGTTGTCTTTTTTGCAGATGACCATTCATTTTATCTACTTACATTTAATAGTCCTTTCTTGCTTTCCTTTGCTTTTTTATCTAAAAGTTATTTCAGTTTTCCTTCTGAGTTTGCCAGCCATCAAGAATTTTTCAAAGCTTATTTATAGTAACTTTATTTTAAAATAATATTAATAGTAATAAAAAATATTGTCAGATTCAGTAATTGCATAATTTAACATTTTGGATATGAAAATATAAGAAAGTAGATATAGATACAGAAAGGTCTCAATGTAACAATGTATATTTCTTGATCCTTTCTTTGCTGTAAGGTCCTCTGTAGTATAATAAGATATGCCTGTTTAAAAGGTTGTATCCTGGAAAATATAGAATGCATGTTTGATCCCAGGTGAGAGGTACATTTTCTTTAATAAAGTTTTCAATAATCTAGGCATTTTTACTGTTTGCAAACAGATGTCTACTCAAACACATGTACCCAGTAAAATATTGTATATATTAATGAGAAATATATTATTAAAATGGCTGAGTTGTGTCTATGATTTCTTAATTTAAAACTTGTGTCACATTTATTAATTTTTAATTTTTTTTTTTTAGTTCTAGTGTACGCACATATAAAAACACTGGCAAATTGACATTATATGAAGTGTGGAGCTCAGAATTCCAACAAACACGGTAAATAGCATCTTTATTTTTTTTTATATTTATCAAAACCTGCACAATGTAATTTCAAGAAATGAAAATGCATTAAAAAGATGTTTACTTTTAAGTGAGTTACTGTACATCATTTTGAATAAATCTTTATTGTTTTTAACACATTCACTGCTACTTTGGATATTTCAACAACTAGTACAACAAAATAAACATATCTTCTGCTCAGTGATGCTTAGTGCATTGTTATAGATTTTTATTGTTTTAAATAAATGTGGAATAGATGTCCATGTGCATCAGAGGTAATACAAAACTTGCTACAATGTGTGCATGTGCGTTGTGTAGTGTGTGGTTCAGCGTACCCGGATTAAAGGAGAATTTAATATGGGATACCCTGCCCACAAAATACAACGCAAATTTCAAGAAGAAACAACATGATAAGGAACGTTTATAAAAAATAGAACACTGTATATTTATTATCTTGTGAATAGGGTAAAAAAGATTATTGTTTTAGTTCGTTTAAGCAAAAATGTGATTTTGATAAAAATGTCTGTGTTCGTTGTCTTTTAACAGAATAGCAGAATAATGTCTGTTTTTGTTTTGTATAGTTGTAAAATGAAAAAGGGGCGAGCAATTTAAGTTAAAAAAAAGAGTGTGAATGTGGAATAAAGATGAAAGGAAAATGTACTTATGAATTGTTTTGAAGTCGGTTGTAAATTTGTTGTTGTTCCTTCCTACTCCACTTTTCGGGTTGAGTCAGTGATGAAATTTACTGTCAATCTTCTGTGATCTTTTGCGCCCTTCTCTGACTGGCGACTGACTTGAAAACTCTGTATTTATTGTTGACTTTTTTTCACACTGGCTCGTTATCTTTTTTTTTGGTTTAGCAAATCGCCTCCTTTCATTGGTCAGAAAATTAATTTCACACCTTATTGTGAAATCTGTTTTTGATCGTTTTGATCCGATTTTGCGGATGTGCAAATCTACTTTGTGTTTTTTTTAGTCATTTGTTGGAATATAGGATTTGTATCCTATAGTAGTAATGAACATCTTAAATGTTTTAGGTTTTAAGATTTATTAAAGGCTTTCAAATTATGTAAATATGAAATCTTTTTTAGAAAGGATCTACCTTTTACATTGTCATATCATTCAATGTTGGTCAAGGTATAGCATCTGTTACTCATAAGACTCTCAAACTTTAGATGATTTACAAGGTAGAAAGGTACCCAACAGTAGAATATACACTATAAAATCTACAATGTATTATGGATAATACAATTCAAATTTGTTTCAGTTTCTTTCAATAACATTATGTGCAATCCTCCAAAATTGTCATCACTATTTCAATAAAATATGCCTTACATTTGATTATATCTTTAGTTTGACTTTTGAATTTGGTTTTGTATTTGAAAATCAAATGTTATTCTGTAGATTGTTGTATGTTGCAGATTTGGGGAAAGTGCTGAATGGAGAAATTTTGAGGAACAAATATCTGATTTATTGGAAGATAAAATTGAAATAAAAACCATGAATATACCAGGTAATATAAAAACTTTTAAAAAGTAATATCAGCTATAATATTTAGCATGCTCACTAAATGTTAAAAATTACTTGAGTGAATTTTTACATATAAAAATCTTGAGAAAATTTGTATTTATTTTAAATGAATATAATTGCATACAGCTATTAACTGAGCAGATAGGGGCTTTTGAGAAAAATATCTTAGTCAGGAAGCTGTGCTTTCTTTAAAAAGGAAACTAGAGCTTTGCTGTATTGTGTTGCTCTTTGTGGTAAAGCACACTGGGTCAAATTCTGGTTTCTCCTGCTAAGTGGAATGCAGGTTTGATTCCTATCTGAGAGCACATTTCTTGAGTGTGTAAGCTGATAGATGTAATACACACTGTTTAAAAAAAAAAAAAAAATTAAGGTGTCTATTTTAAATACAAATAGCCATTATAATAACGTTTGAAGTAATAAAAATGCATTAAAAATAAATCTATTAATTCTTTAAAAGAAACAGCTATATGTATATATGTCTAATACAGAAAATTATCTTTTCGTTTTCATTTTGGGGATCTATAAAAGAATTATATTGTCTAATGTATGTGGAGAAGTTGCTGAAAATTTCTTGGCCCAACCAAGATGATCTCTCCTAAATTTTGATGTTTTGGTGATTTGGTTTGATTTTTGGAAATGAGTTAAGCTGAGAACTTTCCAGCACCTCTTTGTGTTGCACTATAAAAAACAGTTTCATTGTTGCCTTCTATGTGGTTTTAGTTTCACAATTTTATGTAATTCATTGTTTGTTTGAAAGAATGAATTTCTGCTGAAGAAATAATACCTGTCTGAAAATAATTGATATAATAATAATACTGCTATTTGGCAGCATCTTTATATCTGAATTAAAAAGAGAAGGCTGATAAAACAGCTATGATTAAAAATAGTTTGACCATGAAAGGATTAACTCAAAATTTGATTGTGTATTCTAATTAATGAAATATAATGCCTCAATGAAATTGTCTTGTTTTTCTAGTATATTTTTGGATTCTTCTTACATTTTAATTTCTTACTTTTCAGCTTATTGGTGGCAGAAGAGTTTCTGAAGTTGAGTATCATTACAATATGGACTACTGTTGATTGGTTGATCAATATGACAACAATGTTAGATGCTCAAATAACTTCCATGGCATTTTTCTCTTTTTCCGAATTAGTTTTTGGCTGTTAACGTTAAAATGTATATTTTCAAACAAATTGTCTGATTGTGCTTCCAATGCTGTTGAAAAAAAAAATAAGAATCAATGAAAATAATCTGATGCTGTTGTCACATAATAGAATTTTATTTCTATTTAGCTGATCTTTTTAATGACAAGCAATGTTACAGAGAAATACACACACACATTTTAGCCCAAAGATTATTCACTCCAAAATCATGTCCTGAATAATTTTTTTTTCTCTTTAGATACGTCTTATTAGAGTGACTGTGAAAATGATTCACTCAAAGTTCATTCCAATCACTGAATTTGAAAAACGGGAGTTTATTTTTGAATGATTTGTTGTCATTAGCAAGGTAGATTGTATAATCCATTAGAATATTTTCCCTTGATATAAACATATCTATTTTTATAGATAGAATTTTTATATAATTTAAAAATTAAAAAAAACATTCTGAGATTTTAAGATATTAAAATTTTCAGATCTTAAATCAAAATTTAAAATTTTTAATAGCATTCCATTAAATAGTGACTTATTTAAAATGTTTTTTGTAGCACTTCAATAACATTGATATGTTGAATTTTTGTTTCTAAATTGACACCTCAGTGCAAAAGATCATTTATTAATAGTGTTTTTCTTTGCAACTCTTTCCAATATATTATTATTATAAAATGCAGTTTTTGGTTTTTACCTATGTTTTATGTCACTGCTTATAACATTTATGTGATTTATATTCCCAGTCTGATGAAGAAAAATCATAGTCATTTAAAACTGCTGTATACAGTGGATACATTTATTTCTCTGTGTTTATGTACCCATGTAGTATCAATGAAATCTTGTCTATATTTTAATATTTGCATGTGGAGCATGTTTTGATTTATATTTTTAGATATGATTCTAATTTCAAATTAAATTTCTACTCTTCAGATCTTATGTATAGCTAATGCTTTTATTTTCTAGTATTTATGGTTGCTTTTTTAATATTTGTGTTTGATATTGCTTGTGACATTTTGTGCTCTTTATCACAACTTTTCTTCTCAATTTTGCATAAATATTAAAAAATGACTGGGATTGTTGTGAAAGTTATAACTTACAATGATTAAAATATATTTGTATAAAGTTGCAAAATTATTACATTCAGTTGGTATATGATAATATTTTCAACATTTCATCATTCTCAGCTAAAAGTAGCATTTCTTGTAGATTTCATCTTATATGTTAAGTTAATCATTATTTGTATGTATTTAAATTACTGTAAGGTTGCCAAAAAGATACACATGCAACTTTTTAATATATAATATAAAAATCATGGAAATCATTAAGTTAGCAAGTTAATTTTTTTCTCTTTCACATAAAAGAAATATATATTCTATACCATTTATTGTAGGGTCATTTTCCAAATTTCAAATTATCAGTTAACTGCTATACTTCATATTTGTGTATAAATAGTCTTTTGAATTATATTTCATTACAATATTATGTAGAAATAAATTGGCTGTGCCCATTTGTAAGTTTATGTACCGTTAAAAATTATTACTGCTGTTTTTTAAGTAGATACTGTTGATAACTTGAAAGAGAATTGATATATGCTGTGATTAATTTGCTGTCATTATGTAAGATATATGACATGAGTAAAGTTGTTTACTGGTATGTGTGGCACTTGAACTGGACTGATAATGAAAGTGATTTTTCACAAATAGAAAAAAAAAACCCAGATTATTGATGAATCATTGAAATTAGATTAATTTTGGACATCTGCAGTGATGTAAACTCAGTGAAATTATGAAAAGAAAGTTTAAGTGGTAACTAGACTGGTACATTACTTTACAAGTATTACACATAAATTTTTATTGCAGTGTTTTTAAAAATTGAGCTCTTATAACTTAAAATGTCCACTTCCTATGATTAAGATAGATTAATTTGAGTTTTATGATTAATTTGAATGTGTTTACTGTTGGAATTCAGTTACTAGTATGCAAATACTTATTCAAATTTCTTGACAATCTTTCAAAGATTGTCATATAACCATCAAAAAAGTGCAACTTATCAAATCTCTGATGGTTATTTTTCTATTATGAGAATAAACAATTTACTATTTTTGATATTCTATCCAGCTCTTTATCCTTTAGCTAATTATTTAATAATTAATGATTTTGTGTTTCTGACTTTACATACCAAATCTTATATTTCATAATGTAGCAACTTATTGAAATTCACTTAGTTTGTTTTTGTTGCAAGAGGCAATTTTTTTAGCTTTAAGAAAGTTCGCATTAATGAATATAATGATAGTTGTTTACTTTATTATACAAATAATAAACTATTTCTTTGAAATATTAGAACTGATTTTATACACATTTGATTCAAATGGTATTTTTCTTTTAAATTTTGATGTAACTAATTTAGATTAAAAATCACAGTTGATTTTTTTTTTAGGCTTTTATTTGTAACATTCATTTTGGAACATTTTCTTAATATATTTTCTATTTAATATATTAAAATATCAATTAATTTTTAATTAGTAATTAATATAATAAAATATCAATTAATTTTTAACATTGCTTGAGTTTATAGCATTTTCTTAAAATTCCTACTGAAACCTATAGTTAATTATATCTGTCATATTTATCTACATGTCTACAGCTGCTTGTTTGTCTATTTACCTACCTACATGCCTTCCTTACTACTACCACCTGTTCTGCCTTCCTTTCAATTTATCTATTAACTTAGCCATCCAATATTTTTGAGATATGATATGAGGGATTTTTAATACTGCTTGTAAGTCTCGGCATTTATTCTTTAACTGTGAACAAGCAGGTTCAAGTTAACAATGTGACTTAATGAAAAATTCATAGTTTTTAACCAACAAAGGCAGCCAATTTATTCAATATTAGTTCTTTATTTCTCTATGAGTATTTCTCTTTCATGATGCCTTTTATATATAAAGCATTTGGTTTAAGAAAATTTGACATCCTGAATAAATGTCTGTTGTTCAGTTTTTCATCTGATAAACTTCTAAATTGATAACTAAATAACAATATAGACTAACTGCTCATATTTATTTTCTCTGTATGTGAAAAAGGTTTTTCTATTTTCTTAGTGAAAATCTTATTTTTGACTCCTCAATTTTATTAATTGATGCCAGTGAGTAAGGAATGCATTTTTTCAATGCTTAATTTAATAATACCTGTCGATATACATGAAAGCTTGCCTCCATACAAAATAACATAAAAAGATGAGTGATCTGAAATTGACAGAGTGCTTAATCATGGATCCTTGCTCTAACTCTCTTTGACATTAACAATTTTCTTGTAAAAGCCAAATATACATGTTTCACCAAGTTTCATAAGCAGCTATTTTGCAGGAATGTCTGAGATCAGTGTCATGAAGATTTAAGTGAACAAACCTTTAAAGCAAATATTTCTTATATAATTTTACTGCAAATATTCATTAAGATTACAAGTATTCAATCTTTTATAAATAAAATAATTTATGAAACATGATTTAGATTTACCAGAGCCTAGAAGTTGCTTCCCTTCTTTAAAAAAAAAAAAAAAAAAAAAAAAAACGAAAAAAAAAAGAAGTGAAAACTGTATATAAGTCATTATGACATGTGTTTTAAAATGAAAACCATTGTACTGGTTAATCTGACTTAGTAGCTATTAGTAATGAAAAGCGGTGGGAAACATTGCTTAATATGAAGAATTAGACAAGTAAATTGTAATAGTCACAAATTGCCAAAAAGAACATGTCAGACAAAATTTGCAGAAAACCTTCATCAATATAAGATTTTGCAATATTTTATGATAGAAAAATATATTTATCCTCATACCTATTTATCCACAGTTTTGTAAAATGTAATTCTAGCAGTTTCTTTCCAAATTCATGCATTGCTGAAAGGCAAAAAATTAGTACTACATAGTTTGTAAACTATTCAAATTCCTCAAACCTTTGAAGTAGAACCTTGTATACCAATATCCCATACATGGACAATGTTTTTTTTTTTTTTTTTTTTAAAGATTTCTTCCAGTTTGGAAATATTGTTAAATTGTAGCAAATATATTTTCTTTTCAAGCTGAGCAGTTTCATCTTATTGGCTTTTGTTAATAATTTCAATACTTTACAGAGATTGTCATTATCATCCAATTAAATAGATTCTTTTCATGTTTCTGTAGTATTTATTTTTTTCTTAACATGTATTGACAAATAATTTCAATTGTTTTGATGTATGGATAAATATATACTGAAAAAATTGAGAAATACTATTGTTCCTACATAATGTAACTTTTAAATGCAATAATAAATTTGATATTTTAAATTAAAAACAAATGTGCCACATTTTTCTCTTTTAATAGCTAAAATTAAAAATGTAAAACACTACATACTATATTTTTTACTTATTTAAATTAATGTTTATTCTTTGAAAATCATCTGCTTCATACATAAAAATTTTGATATTGAATCATTCTTTTCACCTGATATAGTTTAAATATCAGATAATAATTTGGATTGGAATGAGTTTAAGTTTATTTGAATTTTTTAAATAATAAAGAAATTCAATAAAAATGAAGCTGATTAGAATTATTGATTAGAATATTATTTTTATAAGTCTATAAAAAATGATTATTTAATTTATACTGTTGTGAAATAGCTTTTCCTATTTAACAATATGGATACATATCTAGGTTTATTAATATGTGGTAACAAAAAAAATAAATTCTTGTTTTATTATATTACTATAGTTTTATCTCTTTTGCTGGATAATGTTTTAATTTAAAATTTCTCACGTGTAAGTAAATTTCATAAATTCACTAAATTTTATAGATTTAAAATTGTTCTGAAGATAGTTTTGGATATTTTTTTTTTTTTTTTTTTTTTTTTAGGATAATTTAAG